AAAAGTTTAGTAATTCACTTGAAGTAATATTGTTTTCATCTTGATGCAAATTTCTACACCGTGATGAAAATGTTATGATCAAAACTGTACGCGAATAAACAACAGTTTTTCATTTATTAACCACCTTATGTAAGTCAAATCTCTTGTTGTTCTGGAAAACAACAACAAGGGTCTATTATTATAGTGTTCTGTATGTTATGTTGATTAAAAACATATTATTTATCACTTATTGTGATATTCAAGGGAAGTAAATGATGTATTATTTTTCTGCATCTATTATTATAGTGTTCTGTATTTTATGTTGATTAAAAACATATTATTTATCACTTATTGTGATATTCAAGGGAAGTAAATGATGTATTATTTTTCTGCATCTATTATTATAGTGTTCTGTATTTTATGTTGATTAAAAACATATTATTTATCACTTATTGTGATATTCAAGGGAAGTAAATGATGTATTGTTTTTCTGCATCTATTATTATAGAAAGAACAATATATAGCCGGTTATGGTTATAAAGGTTATTACGTTTCAAGTATGTCTTACGTGCTTCCCTATGAAATGTATGTTTTAAAAAGAACACAAACTAGGAATAGATATGTTTAAACATCGGAATTTTCGTTTATTTCAACACCTAAGCAGTCTTCCCCAGATCTACTGAAAAAGCTGACTCAGTAAAAAAGGGACGAAACATGAGTGAAGTGCTTCTATGGCAGGGACACTTAATTATACAGAAAGGGGGTGATGGACCGTGATAGACATTCCTCTTGTTGTTTCAATTAAGGGTTAGCCAGCTATTTCGTATACTTAAGAAACCCTCACAATAAAGTTTTTTTTTTCTTTTACATTATATACTTGCCGTGATATTTGCTTTCTTATAAACAAAATTTATAAATAAGTTTCGAAACTATAACGTTGGTATTGTTTTTTGATGAGTTCATTTCACTTTCAGTAAGCTTGTTTGTTTGGAGTTAAGCACAAAGCTACACAATGGGCTATCTGTGCTATGCCCACCACGGGTATCGAAACCCGGTTTCTAGCGTTGTAAGTCCGCAGACATACCGCTGTGCCCCTGGGGGGCTTCAGTAAGCAACTACGTTTTCTTTTCTTTTCTATTATATTTTAATTCCAAACCTTTATATTTATGTCTATGCTTCTAAACCTGTATTCCACATCTGCCATTTTTTTATTGAATATCATTAAAACTATATTTCAAATCCGCCAGTAATACGTAAATTGTCATACTTTTGAAATTTGTACTTCCCATCTTAAAGGCTAAAAGTAAAAAATAATAATAGTAATAAGATAATAATTAATGGATATTTTGTTGCAATTATTCTTAGAATAATGAGCATCACTAACTAATCATATATTAGAATATAATTAGTTACATTTATAACAGAGAGATATATTTTTACAAGGTTCGATGTCTCGTTATTTATAGATTTAGCTTCTCCATAGTAAATACAGTTTGATGTTAATTATTATTAAAACCAAAACCACCTCAACTATGATTAGCCAATACTACTTCTGACTATTTATATTCTACCCATCTCTATGTTGGTATGTTTATTCTGGTTTAAGTTGTGGGCTACTTCGAATAAGTGCAAACGAAATGGTAAAATAGACAGGTTAATCTTGATATATGTATATAAAATGATACGGGAAAGTCTGTACCGTAAGTAATCTTGTGTGTGTGTGTTTTTAGTGAAATATTATTCCTATAAAAGCTACCGCTGGTTGAATATATTATTTTTTTCTTCTAAAATATCAATTTTATCTACGAGAACAGCTCATTTCTTCATTTTCTTTACTTTATGAAAATTAATACAAAGTCTTTTAGTGCATCCATTACATGTCCTGACAAAAATAAATCACTTATGGGTCTTTTTTGTTTAGTTAACATTTTCCCAGGCGACGGGCACACTTATCTATCAACAACAAGTCCTTGTCAAGTCTCCCGTTACATGCATTTGATTGCACTTTATCATGTCTATGTTGTATATCAGACTGTTGTCATAGCAACGTAAGTTTTTCTTTTAAACTAATTATCCATCTTTATTACGAAAATAACACATGATAGTTTTTATATCAATTTTTGTTTTACTTGTTATGCAAATATATGTATAGTATTACAGTAATTACAAAATGCCCACCAAATAGAAATTAGTAATAATAATGCTATGACAATAACTTTACTTTATAGAGATCGAAGTAAATAAGGCTTCATAAAGAACCTATTTTAAACAGCTAACTCTTCAACAACTATTCTTATTAGAAATACATATTAAAGCAGTTAAGCATTATATATATATTATGAATTACAAATGATATGATAAATCACCATAACGCGGCTCCAAGTATTATAAATACATAAATAATTGTACATAAATAAATATACATAAATAATCTTCGTTTAACGTCGTGATTGACGTTTCTATAAGAATATCGCGGTCAACGATTTCTGTAATGGTATTATGCGGTATATTATCACATCTTCGTCAAACATAGAGTACTTTTTTATTTCTTTAAATTGTTTCTCATATTCTATATATATACATATATTCTTCTGCAATCATTTTTAAATGGAATCTTAATCCTGTTTTAGTGTTTCGAAAACATTCACAAAAAACACTGCTAGAGTAACAACAACATTGTTTGTTTGTTTTACATATTTTGATATGTGTTGATTTCTGTCTAGATTAAAACAAAGCTATTTTTTGTTATATATTTTGATGTTTAAATAATGTTTATTATTCACACAAATACACAGTCAAGATATGTTTCGCAAACATTAAAGTCATTTTTCTTTCTTATATTTTAAAGAGCTTATGATAAAACTTGGATCGAATACAATACCAGTTTACTACTTCAGCTCGAATATTTAATGAAGCGGGTTTTATCTAGATATATTTCTATAATTGATACTTGAAACGGTAGGTACTTAGTAAAACTCCATAATTACAGAATTGAGGAAAAAACAAACTATCGTACGTTTCACAAATACTTCATTTACTAACGACCATGTTCGTTAATAAATAACGTATTTGTGAAGCGTACAATTGTATTTGTTATTTTACCTCAATCCTGTACATTTATTTCTAATATGTTAATGATATATCTTGTAAATACAGAATATTAACCTTCCGAATATCCCAAATCCTCTCCTAAATCTACCTGAATTACTAAATGATTAAGTAAATAATTCTATTCATCAATCTAACTAAAGTGAACCATTCTCATTGTAAATAAAATCCATTTAAGATCCACAGTGACTTTGATCATTTCATAAAGTTACATTACTTTATTGTTATTACTTCGTTAAAGTTACCCATATTTGTTTTATTCTATTCAACTGTAAAGTCGATATTAACTCATAATTGTGAATTAACCTGCTATGTATCGTTCACAGGCATTATGCCATTATTAAAGCTATCCATATTTCATATATATATATATACAATATGAATATTTGTTCGATAGGTTTACTAAATAACAGGATATTCTCTCAAGATATTGATTAGAATAGTACTACATATTTTATCGACTGAGTGAATGTAAAGTGAAATAAACAGTCTTTATTAATACAATAAATACCAACACAGTGTGTACACTTATAGGTTACTTACTTTCACCATCACTGACTATCAAGACCAAGTTCAGCTTTTTTCAGTGGTATACCAAACCAGACTGTTAAATCCAATCTTAGTTATATTCAAATAAACTTGGTGTTTAGCC